ATTTTCACATGACACCGCCATCACATGTGACATCTCTTCTGTCTCTCTCTAATACAGTCATCACACTCTCAGTTGATATGTGTAAAATTCTATCACTGGGTGCATGATGATTGTGGTAGAGGGATCATCTCATCACGCCGCCATCACATGTGAAATCTGTTCTATCTCTCTAATATAGTCATCACACTCTCAGTTGATATGTGTAACATTCTATCACTGGGTGCGTGATGATTGTGGTAGAGATTTTCACATAACGCCACCATCACATGTGACATCTCTCCTGTCTCTCTGTAATGCAGTCATCATAATCACAGTTGATATGTTTGACATTCTATCACTGGGTGTATGAAGATTGTGGTACAGAGATCATCACATCACGCCGCCGTGACATCTCTTCTATCTGTCTTTCTCTCTCTAATGCAGTCATCATACTCTGAGTTGATATGTGGAAAATTCTATCACTGGGTGCATGATGATTGTGGTAGAGAGATCATCTCATCACGCCGCCATCACATGTAACATCTCTTCTATTTCTCTCTAATACAGTCATCACACTCTCAGTTGATATGTGTAACATTATATCACTGGGTGCATGATGATTGTGATAGAGAGATCACCACATCACGCTGCCATCACATGTGACATCTCTTCTATATCTCTCTCTAATGCAGTCATCATACTCTCAGTTGATATGTGTAACATTCTATCACTGGGTGCATGATGATCGTGGTAGAAAGATCATCACATCACGCCGCCATCACATGTGAAATCTGTTCTATCTCTCTAATATAGTCATCACACTCTCAGTTGATATGTGTAACATTCTATCACTGGGTGCGTGATGATTGTGGTAGAGATTTTCACATAACGCCACCATCACATGTGACATCTCTCCTGTCTCTCTGTAATGCAGTCATCATAATCACAGTTGATATGTTTGACATTCTATCACTGGGTGTATGAAGATTGTGGTACAGAGATCATCACATCACGCCGCCGTGACATCTCTTCTATCTGTCTTTCTCTCTCTAATGCAGTCATCATACTCTGAGTTGATATGTGGAAAATTCTATCACTGGGTGCATGATGATTGTGGTAGAGAGATCATCTCATCACGCCGCCATCACATGTAACATCTCTTCTATTTCTCTCTAATACAGTCATCACACTCTCAGTTGATATGTGTAACATTATATCACTGGGTGCATGATGATTGTGATAGAGAGATCACCACATCACGCTGCCATCACATGTGACATCTCTTCTATATCTCTCTCTAATGCAGTCATCATACTCTCAGTTGATATGTGTAACATTCTATCACTGGGTGCATGATGATCGTGGTAGAAAGATCATCACATCACGCCGCCATCACATGTGAAATCTGTTCTATCTCTCTAATATAGTCATCACACTCTCAGTTGATATGTGTAACATTCTATCACTGGGTGCGTGATGATTGTGGTAGAGATTTTCACATAACGCCACCATCACATGTGACATCTCTCCTGTCTCTCTGTAATGCAGTCATCATAATCACAGTTGATATGTTTGACATTCTATCACTGGGTGTATGAAGATTGTGGTACAGAGATCATCACATCACGCCGCCGTGACATCTCTTCTATCTGTCTTTCTCTCTCTAATGCAGTCATCATACTCTGAGTTGATATGTGGAAAATTCTATCACTGGGTGCATGATGATTGTGGTAGAGAGATCATCTCATCACGCCGCCATCACATGTAACATCTCTTCTATTTCTCTCTAATACAGTCATCACACTCTCAGTTGATATGTGTAACATTATATCACTGGGTGCATGATGATTGTGATAGAGAGATCACCACATCACGCTGCCATCACATGTGACATCTCTTCTATATCTCTCTCTAATGCAGTCATCATACTCTCAGTTGATATGTGTAACATTCTATCACTGGGTGCATGATGATCGTGGTAGAAAGATCATCACATCACGCCGCCATCACATGTGACATTTCTTTAGTTTGTGTTAATTTAGTGATTAAATAATTTACAGTTTCGTTTTAGAATTTAGATGATTATGGTAGTCCGGCAATCACATCACGCTCATTTCATTCGATATCAGGCAAGGCAATGGACAGTTCCTACCAACGTGATGAACCATCTGAAGAAAGATAACCATGAAACATTTAACAACAAATATCGCGACTACAACAAGAAACAACACGCAACGTCTACATTGCTAATCTGTCTATAAAAGACAGTTATTACTAACTCGGTAGACACGTCAGTTGTGTCACTGGGTATGTAATGACAGTCGTTGATAGATAATCGCGTCGTGCCAAACGTCTACAATAGATTAAAATTGAAAGTAAAATATGACCCAGAATTATCTGCAATGTCTATAAACAACAGTTGTTACTTCCTCAGGCGACATGTTTCCAAATTCTGTCACTGGGAATGTAATAACTATTGTGAATAGACAGTTAACTGCGCATCATAATGCATCACCGAAGTTATATGTATATTCTGAAACGACGATCGAAATTCGAGGTTTATTATAACATTGCTGTGTTGTCTACAAAATCCTGTAAAGTAATACTTGCTACTTTCTCGCTCGACATACTAGTTATTGTAACTGGGAATGTAAATAGCTCTCTTGAACCGGTTATAACTAAGAACGAAGCTTACCCAAAGTTTTGGAATCCTCATAACATTAGGGGTTACATCTTTTCACTATTTACTGCATGTGTAAATATTTTCTCGGAAACCGGGAATCATTTCCACTAAAATTACAAGCATATGTGACTAACGAAAATTCACAGTTTTTTTTTTTTTTATTGCTTAGATCGATGGACGAGCTCACAGCCCACCTGATGTTAAGTGGTTACTGGAGCCCATAGACATCTACAACGTAAATGCGCCACCCACCTCGAGATATAAGTTCTAAGGTCTCAGTATAGTTACGACGGCTACCCCACCCTTCGAACCGAAACGCATTACTGCTTCACGGCGGAAATAGGCGGGGTGGTGGTACCTACCCGTGCGNAGCCCACCTGATGTTAAGTGGTTACTGGAGCCCATAGACATCTACAACGTAAATGCGCCACCCACCTCGAGATATAAGTTCTAAGGTCTCAGTATAGTTACGACGGCTACCCCACCCTTCGAACCGAAACGCATTACTGCTTCACGGCGGAAATAGGCGGGGTGGTGGTACCTACCCGTGCGGACTCCCAAGAGGTCCTACCACCAGTCGTCTACATCGCTTCACCGTCTACAAAGGCTGTTTTAAGCAGTGATTACTTCTTTAGATGACTTATTATAACTTCTGTCCCTGGGAACGTAGTAGCTGTTGTAAACGAATTGTAACTATGGAACTAATTGAAACTACAGACAGAATTGTATTTTTCAAAATGAAAAGTTTTGTTTTAGTGTCCTTGTAGGCAGACGAGCATACGGCCCACCTGGTAGTAAGTGGTTACCGTCGCCCAAGGACTTCGGCAATGCCAAGGGCGAAGCCAAGCCGCTGCCTACAAATCTCAGGTTTAGTACCTTATGTTACTATGTTACTTATTTTATAAGTGTTTTTTATTTATATGATGAATGTAATATAGGTCATAACAAGTACACGTCGAGTAGAAAGTTACAGGAATCTTTAACATTGCTACACTGTCTACAATTTCTGTAAATACCAGTTGCTACTTCCTCAGACGACATGATTTGCTTTCTGTCTCTCAGTACTAATGGTGAGATTCGCTACGGATCACGTCTTCCAAATGCGATACTCTACAAGTCTACAGCATTATGGCAAGTATCGGATTGACCGACAAATTATTTGTCTACAGAAACCTCTCCTACGTTGTCTACAGTGTCTGTTAATAATAGTTGTTACTTCCTCAGATGACATTATATATTGTCACTGGGAATGTAATGACTATTTTCAACAGACCGTAACTGCAAACCGAAGTTTATATACGGACAGAAATGTTAGTGTTTATTTGACTATAACGAACTTATAAATTCGGGTTAATAGTATACTAATAATTTATTTAGATATCATATTTGTTTTTATTTAACAAGTAAGCCTTCTGTGGGAGTTAAGCTAATAAAAAAAATATGGGTGTGTGCATGTTCCAAAAGCTGTCTACGTATTTATATCGTCCACATTGTCTATAAACAATAGTTGTTACTTCCTCAGTCGACATGTCTCACAATCTGTCACTGGGTATGTAATAGCTATTCTGGATAGACGGTAGACTCCGCATCAAAACAGATCACCGAAGTTCTAGGTATATTCGGAAGCGGAAAATTTAAATTAACTCAAACATCGTCACAAAATAATGGATCCGTTAAATTCATTTTATTCGTAAATGTTAAGAAATAAATCAGAGAAGCTATCTGTATACTGCATCGCCAATAAGAATACACATCAATACAGAAGAATGTGAAACACAAATTCTTACGGAAGCCGTCTGTCTATATTTGCTGGACTGTCTATAATGTCTTTCAACAATAGCTATTACTTCTCCAGAAGACATTCACATTCTGTCACTGGGAATGTAATAGCTATTTCCAAAATTACTGTAATTGCTAATTAGTTTATGTGTGTGTATCCTTAAACTTATGTTTCAGAGGTCTGAAGGTCGAAACATATATTCCCCGATCATCGTCATCATCATCGACTACTCTTGGCAGAGCAGTCGTGGTCATGTAGAATCTTTGTTTATTAAAGCCTTGAAAGTTGTTCTCTATAGTTCGCGAGCTGAGGCTTCGCGGACGCAATCGTTAACTGATACTTTTGGTAAGGATTTTCACTTGATCAGTCCAGCGCACGAGGCTTCGACACTAGAGCTGTATTTTGAATGCTAGTAAATTCTACGGCGCTGTTACCTATCATTGATATGGAAAATCTAGAAGGTGCTCCTGAACTCCTGACAGGATCGCGATAGAACCGGGCTGGATGTTACACGATATCGCCGGTTCTATTCGCAGCAAGGGATCCTAACGCACTGACCTTATTGGTTAAGCAGTCCTGGAAGTCCTTCTTCATGATGGCGACGGACACGCGGTCCTGGGGCCGCTTGGGCCCGCTCACGGACGTCACTACGTCTCCCAGGTCCAGCTCCACCACCTGCAACGGTAGTCCGACATGGTGAGCGCGCGGATGATCTCGGGACGCTCTGGATTCGACTCGAAAAAAATGGTGCTTGTGCAACTCTATGCACGTGAAAGAAGTTAAACTTCTTTTGCAGTGAACTATAGTATTGTGGTTTTTTTTTCATTTATTTTCGATTTCATACTGTGATGTTTTTTATTTTATTTTATGAAGTCAAACACTATAAGCAGGCACACGCCTAATAACGTTAAAAAAAAAAATTGCCCTAGTACGACGAGCGTGCGGCCCACCTCATACTGAGTGGTTACCGTCGCCCATTTACTTCAGTAATGCCAGGGGCAGAGCCAAGTCGCTGCCTACCGTTTAATACTCTCCACAAGCCTCGTTTGAAGAAGGACAAGTCATAGCGCTCGGGAAACACCCTAGAGGGGAGCTCATTCCAAAGCCGGATGGCAGCCGGCCTCATTCATACGCTGTAGTATGCCCATATACACATATGTATACATATACCACTCCCTTAAGAGCTGTCTTGACGAGTACACACTCATTCGGAAAGTGTTCGCGAGACGCAATGTATATTTTCTCACTCTCGCTCGTTCTAAATTTATATCTTTTCTCTCTAGCCGTAACGAATCTGTCGCGAGTTAAATTTTACTCTCAACGCGCCCCAACGAAGTTTCACTCCAATAAAAAAACACACATACCTCTGAGAACACGGGGTCTTGTTCGGGATTGGTGTAGTCCCTGAACTGCTTCGTGGCGCGCAGGTACGCCTCGATCACGTCGATCTTCTCTTTGGGACGGTCTGAGGAGCATCATCGACATCATCAGTCCAGCCTAGTCTGCTCTGAACGTGGGAACACGCGTGTGGCTGAACTGGCTGGTAGGATACATAACGAAATAGAAAGAGACAACCGGCTTATTTCAACTTCGTTCGAACGAACGATCTTCTCAGTGGGTCGCGTTTCCGATCCGGTGGTAGATTCTGCGACGCACGCCTCTTGCTAGGGCCAGTGTTAGTAACCCGCCCGGTTAGAGCCCCGTGAGCTCACCTACTAGTTAAGGCGTCGCTGATATAGCCTCATAAGGCAAAAAAAAAGTTACTCACTGGTCTGGTGCAGGTACTCCAGCGAGCGCGCGTCGACCGGGAAGTGCGCCAGTGTGGCCCCGAACTCTGGGCACATGTTGGCGACGGTGGCGCGGTCGGCGATGCTCAGCGCCCCCACCCCGGGACCGAAGAACTCCACGAACTTGCCGACCACGCCCAGCGAGCGCAGGTGCTGCGGGCACACGGCGCGCTACAGTCTCACGTGAGGTCGGCGGAGGACGCGGGCCCCGCGAGGCACGTACCTTCGTTATCGTGAGCACCAGGTCGGTGGACGTGGCCAACGGGTTCAGTTCCCCGACGAGCTTGTAGCCAACGACTTTGGGCAGCAGCATGCTGATCGCCTGCCCCAGCATCACGGCTTCCGCCTCGATGCCTGCGAGTGGAAAATTTACTTAACACCCTTAAGGCGGTATACGAGGTCTGGCACACCTCGTCCGTCTCCCCTGGCTGAGAAAACCAGACTTCTTGATCGTGCGAAGGCAGATACTTGATTTTTATTTAATGTGAAAAAGAGACGTATAAATATGTAACTTTCAGCCCACAGATGTCCATTGCTGCTGCTAAATGTGAAATGCGGAGAAAAAATAAATATATTGTCTGCTATTTATAGTTATACAGCAACAACAGCTGCCCCTTCTTGCAAACTGGAACGCAGTGCTTCGTGTCAGAATAGGCAGGGTGGTGGAACGAACTCGAATAGGTCCACAACCCGCCCTGCCTATTCCCGCACGCGCTCTGTCTGTGGAGGGGACGTGGCCTCACCTCCCACTCCCCACCCGACGACTCCCAGCCCGTTGATCATGGTGGTGTGGCTGTCGGTGCCGACCACGGAGTCGGGGTGCAGCAGCGGGCCGGTGAACACCACGCGCGCCAGGTACTCCAAGTTCACCTGGAACAGACGTCACTGGGGTCACCGGGGGCACGCAGCGACAGCCACTTAACACTGACGCGTTCATTTGTAACATTAAATACATCTCTCCCACTCTAAATCTTATAAATGTATGCGTTTGTCTCTTTTCAACAGGCTTCTATTAGTTCGTTATATATGTGTGTTTGTATGTGTATCACTGAATCTTTGACCATCAGTTCCGTCTTTTTTCCCCTACCTATGCTGATAGCCTTGAGAAGCTATTTCAGCTTCTCCCTAACATGTAGGTGAGCTCACGGGGCTCAAACCGGAGTGTTGCTAACACTAGCCCTAGCAAGAGCAATGCTTCGCAGAATCTACCACCGGATCGGAAACGCGACCCACTGAGAAGATCCGGCGAGAGGGGGGTGTCTATGGGTTAATTCGCTCGTCGAGCCCTTCCGCGCAAGCGACGGGTTCGACGAAGACGGTGACTGGTCTCACTTCCGTCGTTCCCAGAACGACACAACAGTTTTATAACTACCCTCTGATATTACTACCAGTATTGACATCGTACACAAAGAGACGTAATTAACTGTTAGTTTGGTTGGCTAATTAAAAGTATTTTTGTTTTAAATTTAAACTGAATATATATGTCGGAGACGGTCATTAGTTTGGTAGTTAAACGAAATGCAGCACGATTCCCGAGAGATGGCAGCACAATTGCGGTGTCGTCGGAACTCGGCTAACTTCGTGCTACGACAGAGCCTAGCTGATGGAGGCGCGTAGATGCCATCACACTTACAAACCAGCCTTCTTGAAGAGCGGCGCCTTCGTCCTAACAACTGTCATTCCTTTTTGTTTGCAAGAGAAGATTTCTAAATTGTTCTAAGACAGCAAACGTGATTGGTGTACTCAATATTTCCCTTAGCTCGATCGCCTTATTCGCCCCTACGATGTCTGAGAATGGTGTTAATAATGTGATTTCTTCGACATATTTTATTGTCACTACCGCTTCCTCCAATTTCACAATCACAAGAGAGTTAAAAGTTTTCAATTAAGCAAATCGGTACTCACTTGGTGCACGATCCCGGAGCCCGGCGGGACTATGAGCATGTTGTCGAAGGCCTGCGCTCCCCACTGCAAGCGCAACACACACGATGCAAACAAAACACGCAATGTAAAACGTACTGTGGAAACGCAGTGAACATTCCGTGGTAACTCAGACTTTTTCTCCGAGATCTTTTTGCCGAGAACGCGTATAGCGAAGTCGTGTGAATTGGTATTATTAGTATTGGTATAAAGTTAACTCAAATTTGTATGCAGTTGTATTTTTTTTTATTGCTTAAATTGGAGGACGAGCTGACAGCCCACCTCGTGTTTTGTGGTTACCGAAGCCTATAGACATCTACAACGTAAATGCGCCACCCACCTTGAGATATCAGTTCTAAGGTCTCAACATAGTTACAACGGCTGCCCCACCCTTCAAACCGAAACGCATTACTGCTTCACGGCAGAAATAGGCAGAGTGGTGGTACCTACCCGTGCGGACTCACAAGAGGTCCTACCACCAGTCAAAAATTGACATTGTCGGAAAACACGAGGTTGAATCTTCGCTTCGCGGCAGAAAGAAATAGCCGGTGCGATAGGACCAGCCCGGGCGAGGTCACAGTACTACCGCCAGACCTTTTTGATACACTTCGACGCGGGGTCCTTAGTTTAAATCAAAATTATTTCTCGAAATAATCCTCAAAGCTACCTTCAGAAACTGAAACCTCTCCTTGTTCCTCACGAACTCCAAGTCCTGGTTCTTGTTCAGAGCGTCAGGTCTGGAAATGATGATGGCATTTAGATGCCAAATTTAGAGGCAAACGCACGACTCCTCGCAGCAGGAGGCGCCGTAGATTATCAATCGTCTCTCAGAGCATTAGTGGTACTACCAGCCCTTGATATCAGTCGGACATCAAAGATCAATAATGAGACCGTGGTTTATTCAGTCTCATCCCACTCCCACTGGTGGACCATTAGTAAGCGCGAATCTAAAAGTCTTGGGCACGTGCTTCCACACTAAGCATTTTTTCATCCAGCTAGGATGATTAGAGACATGAGACACGGGGGAAGACGCTGCAATCCTGACTACTGCTAGAAACCTCAACGGATGACAGAGGTTTCTTGGTGACGGAAAAGCCGTTTTCATGGAAGGCCAACCTTCGCTAGTGAGTCACGTGCCGAATGAGCTAACGGAGCGCACTGTTGCCCAAGGACATCAGCAATGTTAGGGGCACTGTCGAGGCGATCTCTGCAGCTCACCGAAACATATATCTTTAACCGTGTTCAAAAAATATGAGGTTACCAATTCGATTGTTTGTTTTATGGGTGCTACCACAGAAAACATTCAGTTGAAATTTTATTTGTAAGCCGGTTCTTCTCGCTTGGGTCCATTTAAATCCCATGAAGATCTGCCCAGTGTTTTTTGATGTATCCCTTAATAATGCACAGTTTTAATGACTTCGACTAAATTGATTATTATATTTTGTTGGAGCCGGTTCTCTTTTTGTTTTTAAATTTTGTACTGTCGTTATCAAATCGTGGGGGGACGGTGACCACATTGAAGGTTAGGTCCCCGTCTGGCAGGAGATAGACAGATTTCCTTGGACGGACACTCGTGACCTACACCGTGAAGAAACCCTGAGTAAGACACCCAGAATTTGAACAAAGCCCGCGGAAAGTGAAGAAGGGGACTGAGGAAGCCGGCTATCAGGGCCATCCCCCACAACACCTGCGCTGCACTCACGTCCTCGCGAAGTCGACCTGCACGGAGTGGTCTATGACAAGGTCAGCGGGGCATATCGGGTTGATCCTGTCCGGATTGCCACCCAGGTCCTTTACGGCATCACGCATCGCCGCGAAGTCTACCACCGCCGGTACACCTGTCAGGTCCTGGAAGAATAATTTAATCAAATCGAACATTAGATACGGGATAGGGGATCCATTAATTGCTCCCTGAACTTACAGCCGACCTGATGTCAAATGGTCGGCGGAACCCATAGATATCAGTAACATAAATACTGTCGCTCACTTTGAGACACTATCTTCTTAGTCTCGGTTTTTACAGTACAACAGCTGCCCCACCCCTCAAATCGAACCGCATTACTGCTTAACGGCAGAAATAGGCATGGTGGTGGAGCCTACCGGCACGGGCACACAAGACACTCTACCACCAGCAATGTACCACGAATATTACATTCCGTTGCACACCTGTAAAATAACCCTGGCAGGTTTAAAGGCGATCTCCACGGATTCCTCGTTGCCCTGCTTCGACTCCCAGTCCAGGACGTTGCTGACATCCTTCTCCAAGACCTGGAAGTTGTCGCAGTTCCTCACGCATGACTCGAGAAGTACCCTGATGCTGAACGGGAGACGATCTAGAAGCCAAAATTATCTTAATTACGAATCTTCGAAAACGGGCCGGCACATAGGTGAAAGATCGCTTGTCAGCAATACCAAGACCTTTTTTTTTTTCTACGTAAGCTGATAGCCTCGAGAGGCTATATCAGCGTAACCTTAACTAGTAGGTGAGCTCACGGGGCTTAAACCTGACGACGTTGCTAACACGAACCCTAGCAATAGCCGTGCTTCGCAGAATCTACCACCGGATTGGAAACGCGACCCACTGAGAAGATCCGGCGAGAAATCAGTGGGCTGTGTCTGAGGGTTACCAGGAGCATAGACCAGCTCCTGAGTTCTCCTGTCACCACTTGTCGCGTCATCGGTTCTTGAATGTTCAAGCCAATTCAGACGTGTTAAAGTCAATGGAAATGACGTTAGAAAATTCCGTCACAAACAAACATACCAAGGCTAATATTTAATTTTACATGACAGTCGACTTTTTTTTTAATGTTAAGTCCAAATTCCACATTCGTTATCACTACTAAGTTTTATAAATGAACACATGCGAATGTTAAATTTAACTTATCATTCGAATATAATTTTTTTTTTTTTTTTTATTGCTTAGATGGATGGACGAGCTCACAGCCCACCTGATGTTAAGTGGTTACTGGAGCCCATAGACATCTACAACGTAAATGCGCCACCCACCTCGAGATATAAGTTCTAAGGTCTCAGTATAGTTACGACGACGGCTACCCCACCCTTCGAACCGAAACGCATTACTGCTTCACGGCGGAAATAGGCGGGGTGGTGGTACCTACCCGTGCGGACTCCCAAGAGGTCCTACCACCATAAATTAACTACTTATATTTTAAGGTCGTTAATTGTGGATGAATCGTCATGGCCCGACTCCCCCTTGCACTCTCCGATCTCTGACCGGGTTCACGCGTCATTACGGATCCTCCTAATCCATTAACGGTGATTTTGGGTACCTCAAGCACCGGTCACCGTCCTCGTCCAACCGGTCGCTTGCGAGAAAGGGCTCGGCGAGTAAATTAACCCACAGACACAGCCCACTGTGTTTCTCGCCGGATCTTCTCAGTGGGTCGCGTTTCCAATCCGGTGATAGGTTCTGCGAAGCATTGCTCTTGCTAGGGCCAGCGTTAGCAACACTCCCGATTTGAGCCGCGTGAGCTCACCTACTAGCTCGGTGAATCTAGATTAACCCCTCGAGGTTACTAGAATAGGTAGGAAAAAAAACCGAGGTCAGAACCCGAGCAGAGAAGGGGGATTCCCGCGGTCAAAGACTTGTAGCCCACCTCGAGGTCAGTGGTTATTGGATCTAATAGAAGTGACCTTGTGCACGCCGCCACTAGCTTGGGACATAAGGTCAAACTATCGACTTCTAGTACGACCCTGTTTAGCATTGTATGTTTGTTTGTGTGTAACGAAATCTTCGAACGCCCCTTCCACCACCTCCAAGACGTACATAGAACCCGCACGCGCATCATAGAACCATCACAGTGCGTTTCTAGAGATCTTCTGACTGTGAATCTGAATTTGGATTGAGCTACCCTGGACAGTGTTTCCCGAGCGTTATCACTTGTCCTTCTTCAAATGAGATTTGCGACTGCTCAGCGATAGGCGGCGATTTGACTATGCTCCTGGCATTGCTGACGTCCATGGGTGACGGTAACCATTCATCTGCCTACATGGACAATAAAAAAAGAAACAATCGCTACATACCTTTCTAGATATGGCTTTAAAACAAAAAATTAAACTTACCGTATTTAGGTCCAAGGGCTGATACATCGTAGTAGGTGTAAGTGGAGCCGTTAATGTCAATCGTCTTCAGCAGCTTCTGGTAAGGATTCGTGGATCCTGCAAAAGACCATGGTAATATGACTTTACGCAACTGTCAATTCAAAAGGATATAGTTTTTCGTATGTTAATGAGTTTTTATTTATTGGTCAGAAGTGCGAACGGACTCATGGTCCATTAAATGGTCATCGGAGCTCGTGGACATCAACAAGGTAAACGTCGCCGCCCACCTTCAGGCGTGAAGTCTTAGACTTGATTGTGTAGTCCAACGGCCGTCCCACTCTTAGTTTATTGAAGTGAAACTTCTAATGCGACTTCCAACAAGGTTGCGTTAAACGTTTAACGCTACCATAGAATAGAAAGAGACAGAGCGAGAGTGAATGCGTGGCACTCGAACGCATGCGCGTAGTATACCTGTTATGCGGAGTTTACATTACGAAATTAGTGTCATGCATGTTGAGCTCAGTTTCACGAAAGTAGTTTCGATATATGCGAAAGTAGTTGCGATATATGCGAAAGTAGTTTCGATATATGCGAAAGTAATTTCGTTAAAAAAATAGTGTCGCGAAATCCACAGTATCGCAGTAGCCATGGCGCCTTCAGCATTAAAGCTATAATTTGCTATATTCAATGTAGCTAAAGAAATACACTTAAAAAAAGACTATCAAGAAAAAAAAGACGTTGGTAGATTCGAGGATGGTCAACAAGAAGGCATTTAGGTGCAATGAAGTTAGTCTCTGAATTAGCAGATGAAGATCCTGAGAGTTATAAAAACTATTTTCGAATGAGTGAAGATAATTTTGATTTTTGGAGTTTACTCCTTTAGAATCGATTTACATATATAGGCCCGGGGTATGAAAATTATGGGGACCAAAATCGTACTAGCATGTCACACGAAATGCGTTATGCGCCTGATTGGCTCCTGATTGCGTGATGCGTGCGCGCGCCAATCAAAATCGTACTAGCATGTCACACGAAATGCGTTATGCGCCTGATTGGCTCCTGATTGCGTGATGCGTGCGCGCGCCAATCAGGAGCCAACGCGCGGCCGCGTTATCGCAGGTGACGCCGGGCTGCTGCGCCGGCAGTCCGCCACAAAGCCTCGTACTGATCGCGCGTTTCTCTCATTATTGTATTTTCATATATTTGTTAGTCGTTTGTTTTGTGTCTCGTTAATTTGTTAATAATCTGTAGTGTATCGTGTTGTCGTAATATAGAACTATTTCTCGTATTGTTTCGTTAAATTTTTTATATCCAGTAAACTCCAGTCGTGCGTCGGAGCGGACACACACACTTTTTATTATTTTAATATAGGTGTTTCGGGTCCCAGAGACACCCTTGTCGCTGATATTCATTAATAAGATCTATATTTTTTTCTGTACTCCATCATTGGTTTGCCATTTTCAACGCTTGAAGCGCGTCCGAACTAACAATAAACACGTCCGCACAGCGCAGGCCCTTTCGCGACATTAGTTTCACGTCGCGTCTACACTCTACACTATGAAATTAGTTGCATGACACTAATTTCACCAAAAAATCGCGCAGGGCACGAAACTAATTTGCATGCATGAAATTAATGCATGCATTACGAAAGTATTAAATTACATGTGAGCTGTTGGTAAAACTAATGTCACGAAATTAATTTCATGCCACTAATTTCGTAATGTAAATTCGCCTTTACAGGCCAGTGCGAGCGTTAGCCAATATTTTAATGAAGTATTTAAAAATATATATATATATATTTAATTTTCTATCTATAATTTAAAGTATATATAATATAAATGTTGAAGATGTCGCATCTCTTATACACAGCATTCCCTATCAAGAGTAATCTGATATAAGGATGAAAAATGAAGAAAACCACAATACTACACATCGAAAAAGAAGTTTCACTTCATTCACGCGCACCATTTTTTTTCTATATTTGATTGCCCTTGTGGGCAGACGAGCATAAGGACCTGATAGTGAATGGTTACCGTCGCCCACGGACGTCAGCAATGCCAAGGGCAGAGGCAAACCGCTGCCTACCGTTAAGTACTCTCCACGAGCCATGTTTAAAGAACCGCATTACTGCTTTACGGCAGAAATTAATAAAATACAGATTTAGATATAGAGTTTACGTTGTGCTGGATACGTTTAGGACCTACAGCGTCCACTTAGTGTTAAGACATACGAGATCGAAATACCAGGTAAAACTTCTCACACCGTTCTCGTCGAATACGCCCGACAAGCAACTTAACTCTATAGACACAAACTGAGTTTCTCGCCAAATCTTCTCAGTGGGCCGCTATTTCGATCCCGTGGTATATACAGCGAAGCGCTGCTTTGCTAGGGCTAGAGTTAGCAAAGTCTCTCAAACTGAGCTTGAGTCAGTCCATCAATAAAGGGGTATACCAGACCCCTGACGCTAGAGGCATGGGTAGGTAAAAAAAAATCAAATTGCCTTCAATAAGTTCACGATCTATAATAAAGTATCTAATCGGCAACGAGCGAATGAATCCTAAGCGAATATCCGAACGAATTCCATAAAAAAAATTGACGTAAAGTATGTTTGTACCTACAAAACCTTCGCCATTGAAACCTAAATGCAAAATGCATGAGATTCGCGGAAAAAATAGGGGGAAGCGTCGTATCGTTCCACTAATGGAAACATAAAATTATTTATTTTCATTAACATTTTCTTTACGTTGAACGACTTATTAAAAAAAAAACATATTCAAAAAAACGTTTTCTTGTCATTAATTATGATGCGACTCAATTTTTGTGCATTGAAAAAATATATATACAAAAAATTACGTTCAAGTCAATATTAATACGTTTTCACATCTACTAGATAATAATAGGAAGTATAATATTTATTATCTGACGTTTTTAACCGGTCACCGTTCTCGTCGAACCCGTCGCTTGCGACGAAGGGCTCGACGAGTAAATTAACCCTCAGAAACAGCCCACTGAGTTTCTGGCCGGATCTTCTCAGTGGGTCGCGTTTCCGATCCGGTGGTAGATTCTGCGAAGCACGGCTCTTGCTAGGGTTCGTGTTAGCAACGTCGTCAGGTTTGAGCCCCGTGAGCTCACCTACTAGTTAAGGTTCCGCTGAAATAGCCTCTCAAGGCTATCAGCTTAGGTACGGAAAAAAAAAACGTTTTTGGCGGGAACGAACGTCACTCAGACATTTTCATTTCGATTACGCGATTTGCATTTTGCAGAGACGCAGTTTTTATTCAAACGTTACCTACCTATGCTGTGAGAGTAAATCTATAGTTTACCGCAACGACAGAGCAAACTTCAAGGCGACCAGCTATAACGCGGTAAACATGTAGGTAAAAGTATTACACCAACACATTTTGTCTAAGTTATAAGTACTGTTAGGAACATGATATTTTATTAACGTTATTTAAATAAACAGAGCTAAAACATTACTGTAAATAAGTTGCTGATGTCATTTCTACACTATAGTCATGAAACTATTAGGATAATTTTATTTCAAATGCAGTACTAAACAGACGTAAAATTAATAATAAACTATTGAAGTATGATTGAAATACATTTATTTAGAGTCAACCAACCCTCACGTCCATCGTTTATGTAAATATTAAAAAGTAGTAAGCAATAAAAGATAGGGATTTGTAAGTGGATTTTATTTTGTCGTATTTGATAATGAAATTATTAAAATACATATGAATATTTGTAATCAGATCACTATTATAGTGAACTTCAATCAAATTATTACAATAAACGTACGTCCAATTGGCCTCATATAAATTTTTTTGAATAATTTTTTTTTTGTTCTTATAGTTATTTGAGTTTTTTTATTTTATACCAATTTTCATTTTTCACTATGTTTATGAACGTTTTTTTTATAATTTTCTTCCAAACAATTTGCTTTTTTCATTGGAATGAATGCATAGTTTCATGTAAATCTTGAATAATGAAATAGTATACCACTTCTAAGCACATATTCTGCAAAATCTTAGTTTTTATGAGATTTGTTTTATATGAGTATGAGATTGGTAATGTTTTTTTGAAGTGAAACTTCCTTATCGGCGTTGGAAAAAAATTTACCGTCACATTTTTCGGTTACGCGTCACTTTTTTCCGTTACGCGCCATCTGTTTTGTATTCATGTCTATGATAATAAAATCCTTTTGTTTAAACTTTATCTAATTTAACTTTTTTGTATTCATGTCTATGATAATAAAATCCTTTTGTTTAAACTTTATCTAATTTAACTTTTTTGTATTCATGTCTATGATAATAAAATCCTTTTGTTTAAACTTTATCTAATTTAACTTTATTTAACCAATTTCTAGAAAGTTGCATGTAGATCATTTTTCGAAAAATAAGGCCATAAACAAGTTTCACTTCTTACGTGTGTACACTAGTACACGCACACATTTTTTTTTACCATATTTGAGTCTCATATTTTTGATACATTCATACTCAAAATATGTAGAATAAAACAATGTGCCATCATTTAAACTAGCTTGGTGATCAGCTTAAATCATTGTAAACAACATTCTTTGTCCCTCCACAAAAGAAGTATATTTTATTGATAAATCTAACTGGAATTATACAAAATTCCAATTAGATTTAGAGGAAACCAGGTTTTCCTAGGTATCGATATTTCCTCATCTGTGCAACGTCCAGTAATTGGACGAATGCTGAACCTTTACTGTCATTTAATCTGCCACACAACGGAAAGGTTAAGAGTTTATCTTCCAATTTATTTGGAATGCTAGGAACGTAAATAGAAAGTATAAAATGAGTGCTATTTTATTGTCTTTAAGAGCCCATTATGGACATGAACAATACCAGCATGATAGCTAATATACTTTGGCCTTCCGCTTACAACTTTTTTATTTTGCGTAGATACCCATGTTTTAATCTTCTTCTCTGTCAGTAACGAATAAGGATGTGTTGAGAATTGTTTTCAATAGAAGATAATGAAAATGTTGCAGTCCGCTGAGTTGAATTAAGAAAACTATGAGCATATTTCAAGGTCAAATCGATTTACTCCTAATTCATTCATAAATACTGAGGCTCAGAAATTTGTAACCTTTCACAAAAAAAAGTGAATAACAAATTAATTTTATAAAATTTAATGATATGTTGTGTACCTCTGCAATTACATTTATTTTATCATTAGCATAGTAGTATTGTCATTTTTAATACTATTTCGAGTATTCTTAACTTGGATATTGTATGTACACGAAAAAAGAAACTTCAGGTCAGAATTCGACCTAACAATTTTATGGTGCCGATAGCATAACCGCGTCTATGAATAATAATTAACAGGAGCAAAGGTTAAGCAAAAGAATACACTAGAATTGTTTGAATAAACATGCATTTTACGTCAAAGCGTAGTTTTAAGACACATTTCATTGATAAGATAATATCCAGACTCTAGCGATAACGAAACTGAGATGAAATAAAACACTTATCCCACACTAAAATACGATTTTAATATTTTTTTAGTTTTTTTTTAATTTTAATTTTTTTATTAATAGTGTTCAGTTACATACCAGCCATAGTTGGTAGCCGAAAAGTCACGTCGCCAATAACACTAGAGATTGATTATGGTTCAGTTTATGTTAATCGAGTATTTAATGAGATTAGGTTTTGTATCAATTCACGTCACAGTATTTAACCACGAGTTTTTATGGTCTGACACTGACTGACTTGACGGCTATGAGTTGCCGTGACGTAAGCCCCCCTCCCGACACCACTTCAAGTATCGCCTCTCTTCGATAGTAGGCGCTGTAATTCCGTTCCCGCCATAACGATCTTTGACCAGTTCATACTTTGGACCACACAAAAATCAAGTATTATAGGGCGACCCTCAACAGAGGAATGAAGGAATGACGTTCCGTCCTCATGGAATGTCAATGTGTGACCCACTGCGTTCTGGCACGGTCGTTTCTACACCATGCTCTGCAATAGTCATGAGCAAAACTTATGTACTTACTAATGTACTTACCAAGAAGAAAAGAGATATATATATCTTTTGGATATAAAGATAATTATCATCCTTTTATATATTTAACTCTTTATATTTTAATGAATGAATAATGAAAATTGCAGACAAGATGAGTTAAGTAATATTAATTCTGTAAAATATAAATAGCGGTCTGATTTCCTTTCATACTTAACAAGCTTAGGCCTGTCAACTTAGTTGCAAAAGTTTAAATACCTACATAATTTAATAAAAATTATATTTATATTAAATATTCGATCAAATCAAACAACCAAGCGATCAATCGAATAAGTCGAATTATTCGAATGAACGAAGTGATGGTTAGTTCATCGAGCTCATCACTGTTTCATTAAAATGTCAATGTCTATGTCTTTTGTCAAATGAAATTGACATGTTCGGAATCCACAGACAATATCAAAATAATTGAAAAAAAATCCGTTGGAGTACATAATTGCGTTTTTGCGTTATATTTATTTTCTATTTATTATATTTATTAGATAAACTGTAAAATGGCCACTTTCGATTTAAATTCATTAAACACAGTGCTTGATGAGCCCGCACAGCCGGAAACCGGTGTCGATTTTTCTGGAAAATCTCTAAAATTGGATACCGCGAAAGATGGTAGGTCTATTAATTAGAGCGAAGGCCGTGTTATTCATAACACGCATAGCTACTCAAATAGTCAATATAAAATTATAGTTGTTTATTTGAAATTCACTAGACGCGCGTGTAAAAAATCGTTTCCAACATAACCTAAAAAATTGAAATAAAAATAAACAAAACAAAATTTGACGCGATCTCGTGTTTGTTCAATTTGCTTGGAAATAAAGTATATTTTCCATTATAATCAGATTTGGACTTGAAATCATAGCCATAGTACCAAATTTGATATTGAATGAATGAATGTGTTACCTACATCAAGCTTCAAATTGTTTCAGCACAACTAATTGTAGACGCGATCAATAAATGCCCGAACCTCCAATATCTTGCGTTGACCGGCAATACACTGGGTGTGACGGCCGCCCAGGCGATCTCCAAGGCCTTAGAATCACACCCTGAACTCAAGATAGCCAGATTCTCGGATATGTTTACTGGGAGAATGAAAACTGAGATCCCGCCAGCTTTGGTAAGGCTTTTTCCCAAAATCTAAAATGAAGAGGACTTTTTAGTGCTTTTGTAGTCAGACGCTTATACAGCTTAGCTAATGATAAGGGCTATCTTTGATAATGAATATGAGCTATGTCACATGCACAGACTACTGTTGAGAACTGATTTTATTCATTATTATGAAAATAATGAAATATTGTTATTGAGGATTATTAAAAAAACGGTGTACATACACACTAAAAACAATTGAATTTATTAAATGTCAAGAAATTTAATTTCAAATTAAAGTTTTTGTAGTCTAAAGGACATTTGTATAGAGCGAATTCTGAAGATAGGTATTCATTTACCACATTTAGGCTGGTGACAGTATCTAGGGGGTATCACTTATTATTAGGACTATTTCATTTACAGAGTGCTTTAGGTGATGGCATGATAGCAGCTGGAGCTCGTTTAGCTGTGCTGGACCTGAGTGATAATGCATTCGGCCCAATAGGAGTTGAAGGTCTTGCTAAGCTGCTGCAAAGTGATGTCTGCTCTGACCTAGAGGTAATTTGTTTAATAGCTCTTGATAATGAATTTACAGTCATATGGTACAGGACCGTGTGGGAGGTCACCAATGCCATGGGCCGACCAAATTAAAACTTCATTGGGAAGAAGAAGAATGAATCTACAATTAATGCCAGACATATAACCCATTGAGTTTCTTGCCGGATCTTAGTGGATTATAATCCTGAGCTGCTGATAGAGTCAACAAAGCAATGCTCTTGTTAGAGCAAATGTTAGCAAAATCTCTCAAGCTGAGCTCCATTAGCTTGCCCGATCACAGTGAAACTTTATTACGCATTTAAGGCTTCTGGCGATTATGTAGGGACACAAAGAATCAAATCTTTATCACTGGATAGGTGGATGTACATATTCGGCATGCCTGGCATTAAGTGGTTATTGTTTGTGTAGACTGACTGATGCCATACTCAAGACATGTATATCTATGTAATATGATAAAAAAATTGCATCTTTCTCTACGTAAATCAATTTTTTGTCTTATCATCAAATTGTTCTCAAAAATCTTTATAATAAAATTCCCTTTTTTTGTTTCATTCCCACTACTATAATTTCTAGCACTGATCAGATGTATTTATTAAAATCACTTTATAAAGCTTACAAAATACGTTTCCAGGAGCTTCGTCTGAACAACAACGGCCTTGGCATAACCGGTGGTAAGTTGTTGGCACGCGCACTCTCCAGTAGGAAGCGGAGACTACGGGTCTTCATAGCCGGGAGGAATCGTTTGGAGAATGACGGTGCCACCGCGCTGGCCAAAGTTTTTCAGGTGTGTTCATTTCTATCAAGCTATCTCGACCCCAGGCTCCAAGTCTAAAGTATTTCCATTACTGAATAAAGAATATGAACCTGAGAAAAAAAACGTCAGCCATAGAAACATTGATTGAAATGAAAAATATTATAACTTACTAGCTGACCCGGCAGACTTCGTAGTGCCTCAATCGATAAATAAAATACCTAAACTTTTCTATAAAATAAACTTAAAACAAACAAAAGAAATCTATCCGACGAGTGACACATCAAAGTAAAAACAAAATTGTAATTTTTATTTAATTCCGAGCATTTTCATATTTATCTACCTTTTAAACCTTCTCTGGACTTGCACAAATAATTCAAGACCAAAATTAGCCAAATCGGTCCAGCCGTTCTCGAGTTTTAGCGAGACTAACAAATAGCAATTCATTTTTATATAAATAGATAGATTAGTTTTCTTTTCAATGGGTCAGTACCAGACAAATACATAACAAAAAGCAGCTGATTTACTAAAGCGGTTGATAATTTCCTTACAAAGGTGATAAAAATATACCTGATTAGATCTGGGCATCTCTCAGGTGTTCATTTGTTTATGCAATATAAATAAAATATTGTACACTTGTTCACAGGAAATGGGTTCCTTAGAAGAGATAGCTATGCCACAGAACGGTATATACCATGTCGGTATAACGGCTCTATCGGAAGCATTCAAACACAACCCGGCACTGAACCATCTTAATTTAAATGACAATACTATCGGGGCTAAAGGTGCTGAAGCCATTGCCGGTGCCCTACCAAGGTAAAGTAAGCACTGAGTGAATTTTCAACTATGTCATTATTGTCTTATTATTTTATTTAGCGAACTAGCGGCCCACACCGGCTCCGCTCAGGTCTTTAACAAAAATGTCAACAATATTTAACAAATATTTGACATTGTTTTATTTTTTTAAATAAAAGAACACTTATTGCGGCTTAACTGTAATAGTTAGACATATGCTGTTGGGACACTTTTTGTAAATAATAATGTGTTCTACAAAGTCGTAGGACATTATTTTATTCTATCATCAATGGTTTTCGCAGGGCACGCGATGTAAAGAATATTTGAAGTAATTTTTTACACCTTGGGTTACATTATTGCAGTTTTAGTAAGGATTCCTATTATATATTTTTTTTTTTTTAAAGAAGATTATATCCTTTGTCACTCGGTAATAGTGTAGCTTCCAAACAGTGAAAGAATTTTTCAAATCCGTTCAGTAGTTTCGGAGCCTATGCAATACAGACAAACAAACAAATCTTTCCTCTTTATAATATTATAATAGTATAGATTACAAACTTAAGCCTATGTGTTCGGTAACATGACAATTACACAATAACTCTGTCTAACCATTGACATTCCAATACTATAAAAATGCAATTTTCTACAAACTGTTGAGTTGAATTTAAGTTTGGAATTTTCATGTTTATTAACGGTCCAGTTCAGATCATCAAGCTCTGTAAATAGACAGTCCGAATGTTATTTTAAAACTTATATGTAAGATTGCTTTTTCTATGCACCCAGAGTCACCACTACTGACAATATTCTTATTCCATTACAGCATTAAAAGTCGTTTGTTACAGATTAAAGAATCTTAAAAGCATTAACTTTGGTGATTGCCTCCTGAAGAGCAGAGGAGCGAGAGCTTTGGCTAAAGCTTTCAAGGGAAACTCGTTGCTATTAGAGGTACGTATGTATATATATTAAATTATATAACAATCATTTGCATTTCTCACACGTACCAGCTCTGCAATCACTGTATTTATTTTATTGCTTTTGTAAGCAGACGAGTATACAGCCCAACTGATGGTGAGTGGTTACCGTCGCCCATGGACTTCAGCAATGCCAGGGGCAGAGCCAAGCCGCTGCCTATCGTTTAGGACCCTCCACAAACCTCGTTTGAAGAAGGACATGACAGGATGTTTGGGAAACACAGTAGAGGGGAGCTCATTCCAAAGCCAGATGGTACATGGTAGATAACATCTCTGGAAACACTGTTGACACAAGTCGTCGTAGCCTAACGGATAAAAGTCCGGTGCATTTGTATCGAGCGAGAAAAATTGGTACCCGGGTGCGGGATTCGAACCTTGGTTCAATATGAGTGCACCCGCCTTCTCTTATTCTGTAAGCCACGACGACTTCAACTGTTCTCTGCCTTTTTTTTATAAATAATTTGGCTCCAACGCCTTTGGCATTGATTTTGCCAATGTCAAAGTATTTACAAAAATGACAGGTGCTTAGAGAGGGAAAAAATTACTAAATCTAAATACAAATAAATTTGGTCGGTCTTTCCATACGCGAATCTGTGGTTTTAAGAGCAACTCAGACAAATATATGTTAGACTAACTTACTTAAGAGATAAATATTATTAGCAGATAAAAATTTCTCTGCCTTTACTGTAGTCTCTGGACCTCAGCCACAACGAGATCGGACGAGAGGCGTGCATGGAGTTGGTGGATGCCATCACCGAGCTGCCCGACAGTCAGGAAAGACTCAGCCGGATAGTTTTGGCAGGTCAGTATTATTTTAACGGCAGTCTGGTGTAGTGGTAAGTGACATGGTCACTACACAAGGGGGTTACGGGTTCGAATCCCGCCAAGGGAAGATATTTGTATGATAAATATAAAGTATTTTCCAGGGTTATGGATGTATATTAAATATATGTATGTGTATAATAAAAATCTTACATTTATTTCCGTTATCTGGCACCTGTAACACAAGTTCTTTATGAACTTAGCACGGGCCTAGTTAATGTGGCGTGATTGTTAGTAAATATTTATTTATTATTATTTTCATCTACGTACTAACCCATCTTGATGATTGGTATATGATCTGGCTGGTCATTGCTCAATTACTGTTACTGGTTCGTAGTCCGGACGGGTAGGTACCACCGCCCCGCCTATTTCTGCCGTGAAGTAGTAATGCGTTTCGACTTGAAGGGCAGGGCAGCCGTTGTAACTATATTGAGACCTTAGAACTCATATCTTAAGGTGGGTGGCGGCATTTACGTTGTAGATGTCTGTGGGCTCCAGTAACCACTTAACACCAGGTGGGTTGTGAGCTCGTCCATCCATATAAGCAATAAAAATAAAAAACTTGATGCTTCGTGATATCTATAACATTCACATCTGTAAACTTGTCCGGCATCTACTGCCATAATGAAAGAGTCCTGACTTCTTTAACACACTACTAAGTAATGACTACTTCATTAAGTACGATCTGTTTAGAACATTTTTAATTTTACAGGGAACAGCTTGGGCAATGCGGCCAACAAGAAGAGCCTCAAAGATAAGCTCGGTGCTTCAGCAGAGCTCAGCGATGGGGAGGGCAGCGATGATGAATGTAAGTTGTTTTTGTTTGGGTGGACCAGGTCATGGCTCATACTTCAGACTCTCAGACTTCATAAAATTTGTGACTCACAGCAACATAAATGATTGTTCTCACTCTGCGAAACATCGTGCCGTATGGCGTCGCATCGCGAGATCATCGGTATCGCAGGATCCGACTGATGCATGACCACGACCACACTCACCAGAGTGTACGAATAGGAAGAAGAAGAGGTCATGGCTCATCTATCACTGGAGCCTATTGACATCACTAAAGTAACTGCCATTACCCACCTCGACATTTCGGTGTGAATGTGGCCTTCAAATACAATGAGGTCGTAGTTTGCTTCATAACAAACTGTGATGACAGATGTGGACCGAAACCGGAGTAATCTGAATCGCGCCAACGACATTTCCAAGTTCACTTTACATAATAATATACAGGTCGTCCCACAAACTGCATCTATAGGGACTCTGTCAGAAAAGTCGCTTCGACGAAACAAAATTTGTTCCCAAGTGTAATTACTCAGTATAACCTATATATATAAAAATGAATTGCTGTTCGTTAGTCTCACTAAAACTCGAGAACGGCTGGACCGATTTGGCTAATTTTGGTCTTGAATTATTTGTGGAAGTCCAGAGAAGGTTTAAAAGGTAGATAAATATGAAAATGCTCGGAATTAAATAAAAATAACAATTTTGTTTTCTCTTTGATGCGTCCCCCGTCGGACGGTTTCCTTTTGTTTGTTTTAAGTTTATGTTATACAAAAGTTTAGGTCTTTTATTTATCGATTGAGGCACTACGAAGTCTGCCGGGTCAGCTAGTATAAATATAATTACTAAATATAATTACTTACTAAGTAAGTAAGTACTACTAGTAAGGACTGTATCGGAACACAATGAACAAACTATTCTACTGCCATCTCTAAAATCAGTGTTTCCCAACCTTTTTTTGCACTACACCCCACTGTAACATTTCTAAAATTTTTATGCCCCCATACATCATTTTTAAACATAAAAAAATTGTTTTGTTCACTTTAGGAACATACATGATAGGTAGGAAGATATCACTATGAAATTGTTATCAGAACACAGTAAGTAATATTTCAAAACATATATGTAATTAAAAAACTAAAATCAAATTGAAAATAATTTTAATACAAATTTTCTATATTTATTTAGTGCGGTTGCCCCCCTTATTTATCAAATTGCCTCCTTATGGGACGTGGGGCACGCGTTGGGAAACATCGTCTTAAATGGTTTCTAATTTCAATGGTACCGTTGCAATAACATTGTATTTGTTTAAAACACTACATCTGATAAGTCGTATAGAACAGTGGTGGGCAAACATTTTTAATGGCCGGGTCACAAAGTTTAAGAAATTCTAGAGAAGGGCCAGAATTATAGAAAATATCGTACAGTAAACAGAATACTTTTTACTATTACGTCTTGTTAGGCGTGTGAGACGTGAGGCGTGTGATAGATACGTGAAAAGAATGGTTTTTTTTTTTTTTTCAATATATAAACTATGTGACTGCCGAGATAATTATAATGATGGCAAGTTAATTATGAGATAATGAAAGCTCAAAACACCCCTGACGAATTGGAGCTTTCATTAAAAATTCGAAGATTTTCAATTATTATAAACGTCAGATTTTATTTTAGGCGCCAAAATGCTGACTAGATTATTAGGATGGATGGACTCGGCGGGTCGGATTAAATACTTCCGCGGGCCGTACTGTGCCCATCACTGGTGTAGAACAATACTGTAGTTCCACATTGGGTGTGCTTGTCCCACAGACGTGACCGAACCAGAGGAGGAAGATGACACGGAGGAGAGCGAGGATGAGGATGAGGACTCCGAGGAAGCCGGGTCAGGAGACAGCTCTCCTGAAGAAATCCGAGATATAGACACCGTTATAGACGTTAAAGAAATTAGTTTAGATGATTCTGGTATGTCGTTTTTTTATTGCATAGATTGCTGGACGAGCTCTTAGCCCACCCGGTGTTAAGTGGTCACTGGAGCCCATAGACATCTACAACGTTTAATGCGCCACCCACCTCTAGATATAAGTTCTAAGGTATAGTTACAATAACAATCGGACCGTCTGTTTATTTAGTGAAAAAGAAAATTATGTCAAGCTTAATCACTTAATCGATTGCAAAGTTTTTAATTTGTTAACTATATTTTATTTAAGTTAAGGGTACTTTATTACTTTAATTACTTTAAATTTAGCTGTACCTATATTGGAGACATTAGCTCATTTTAATTAAGAAGTCTCTGGTCCTAAATATATTGAGATACTCTGCTTAAAATTTGGAAAGTAGCGTGAAGTAAGACAGGTTAGAGAATGTGCAAGGTGCTTGCGAGCGAGGGGCGCTTCACGGACCGGGGGCGGGGGGTTGGGGGTCAGGGGACACTCACGCCATTAGGATGTCACACGTCGAGAAAACAAATAATAAAACTACAATACGACCTTATGCTTCTAATGTGATTGCATATGTGTTTCAGGAAGAGAAGACATACAGTCCGACGTGGAGCGCTTCCTCAAGGATCCTTCCGTCAAGCACCTGAACTCCCTGGGCGACAGGGCTGCCGAGCTCATCGACGCTCATCTGCAGGTCTGTAGCGCTCCGTACAGGAGGTGGATATCCACCAGTTCCGGAACGTAGCTAAAATTACCTCATAGCTTCTCCGAGAAACCCCTATGCTGATGGTTACATTTGGAAACTCAATCAACAACTGATGATAGTTTCTGATAGTTAACTAACAATGTTCGATATCTATATACCAACCTGCAAGTTTCTGGTGTGAAGCAATCACCTGCTCTAATTAGTGGTGATGTCCGCGGACTCCGCGAGATCGTTAGTCAATCAGCAGACAAAATTGTCGATTTATTGTTTCAGATGATCCGAGATCCGGATGCTATGACCGAGGCTTACGCTCAAGCAGTCCTGTGCGCCAGCGGGCTGTCGTCCCGCAGCGCGGCGGCCACCGCCCTCGCCAAGCAACTCTACCCGCTGTTCATAGCCAGGGCTAAACGGCAAATGGCTCTGGCTAACTCGCTCTTACCCGGATTAGGACTTATCAAGGTACTCTATGTTTCTATAAGCTCATTACTGGAGCCTTTAGACATCTACAACGTAAATGCCGCCACCCATCTTGAGATATAAGTTCTAAGACCTCAAGTATAGCTACAACAGCTGCCACACCCTTCAATGTCCATACCATCCCAAACGCGCACTTCTCAATTTGTCAAGTCACAGGTGGCACTTTCAAACTTCCTCTAATATACAGTATGACCCTCTAAATCAATGTTTCCCAACCTTTTTTGAGCCATGCCCAGCTGTAACATTTATAAAAATGTTTTATGCCCCCCATACATAATTTTTAACATAAAAAAATTGCTTTGTTCACTTTAGGAACATAAATGATAGGTTTTAGGAAGAAATCACTATGAAATTGTTATCAGAACACAGTAAGGAATATTTTAAAACATATTATAATTAAAAAACTTAAATTCAAATTCAAAATAATTTTAATACAGATTTAGTATATTAATTTAGTGCAATTGCCTCCCTTAATTATCAAATTGCCTTTGCTCCTGTGGGACATGGGTCCCACGTTAGGAAACACCGCACTACATAATAACAAAATGTATTTTAATCTTCATTGGCAGTGGGAGAACAAGGACTATAAGATACGGTGGGACCTGCCCGGCTGCTACAGCATCCTGGCCAACGTTCTGGACGAGGCCTACTTCCCCGCCGGGCTCAGAGACACATTGAGGTACCAAACCACTGCTCTATGCTGCTGTAGTGAATATGACTGCATTGAGACATTGAGGTCTAAGTGTTCGTCGTTTGGATCATCGGACGATACGCCTTTGCGGCAGTAATAGGTGCTGTACGTACTACAAGTACTGCCATCTACAGGAACAACGAGAAACTAATAACGAGCCATCTAGTGGCCGAAACCCGTAAACAATGTACCGGTAAAATGGGGCGATTAGGGATTGACAGGCGAATCGGGAAAAAACCGGGAAAATCTTTCGACGCTCAATATAAGTTTTATATTCGTTGCAAAATCTTCCATTTTTTGTAGTTTAATAGTAGAATGTTGAAAGTTCACAAAACAACTCTGAATATGCATGATAATAGCTGCTAACTTATAAAAAATCGCGTTTCAAATTAACTTCCTGTGGTGGTAATTATTTTAGTGCTAGAAACTTTGCTCTCTTTTATTTATTTGATAATAATAGAAGACGACTATGATTTATAAACGTTATTTAGTGTTTGAACCAGCATATATATTAAAGGTAAGTCTCAGTTGTTATTGGTTTTAATGTATTTGATTAAATAAAAATACATGTAAAAATCTGTTGTTTTTGGGGATATTGGGGACGTCTTAGGTACAAATAACAACGAAAAAGGGGTCAATTGGGATGAGAATACGTGAAATGGAAACGACCTAAGTATAAATAGGTACAGGTTTGTAGGGTTGTCTATGTAGTTATAACAATATTTTTTAAATTTGTTGGTAAAAATCTGGTTTATTCGAAGCGAAATTGGGAATAAGTCTTTAGTTGAAATAGATAAGCAATTTAATATAAGTAAGTCGATTTTGCAGAGACATGTAACAAGATCAATGAAATCTCAAGGTGGACAAAAATGTCTAAGTAATACATAATAAAATATTTAATATTTGTTCAGAGTGGGGGTATTCATCTGATTAATCCATGGAATAACCGACACACCTAATCTCTTAACCCAGATAGAAATATCAGCACTGTCGATTGCACCTATAATTGAGGTGATGTCTGCCATGTACTTTTGTCAGTTTTTCAATTTTTTTTATTGATGATCACTTTGTTGGTGCAACTAAATAAATAAATAAATTAAAACTATATATAAAAATAAAAGTAGTGCCAACCCTAGCAAATTTCTCATTTCGTCCCAATTAACCGCAATTTTCGGGTAAATAGGGATTACACCTATTTTTGCATTTTTTGCTTAAACTGGAATGCTAGTTGCATAATTTTAAATTAGACAACAAAGATGCCCCCAAGACTCAATCATTTTGATCCTGATATAGCATTATATACATCAACAACTACCTTAAAATTGCTCATAAAGTTGGAATTTGTCCCTAATCGCCCCATTTTACGGTACATAAGAGAGAGACGAACTAGCTCTCATTGTCCTCTCTCCGCGGTCGACGAGAGACGCTCTGTCTATTCTCTCACTCTCGCTTGTTCTAAATTGTATCTTTTCTCTCTAGCCGTAACGAATCTGCCGCTAGTTAAATTTTACTCTCAGCGCGCCTAAAGAAGTTTCACTTCAAAAAGTCATTGCCTATTTGATGCCTGTCGCTCGATACGAATGCACCGGGCTTCTTATCCTTTAGGCCACTAATACAATGAAAGATGATTTAGCTTATGACGACATAGGTATTGTGAGAAGAGTTCGCCTGATGATAAATTGCCTGCTTCTTGGATATTTGATCTAAATCTCAATTGTAATATAAACCATACTAGTCCTGAATTGGAACGGACTATTAAAATTGAAAATGTAATGTGACGACATTATATTTGATTTGTTTTTGTTTTGCAGATTTTTCATCACCAGTAAACTACCCACCCTGCCCACAGAAATAGAATTGGCTATAAAAAAACATCCGACTTTGTATACAAATAAATAATTTTATTTTCATGTGTTATTATTTCCTTGGAAAACAGTGACAGCAGTGTTAATACAAATTCTCGTAAGTTCATTGCCTACTCCTTTTTTAATACGCTTTTATTAGCTTCAGACGTATGTATGTTTGTAACGGAATCTTTGAACATGATTTTGACCCCCTTCAAAACGTCGGATTAACTCGAAATATGGTATACTTTTTGACCGATAACGATTCAATATTAAAAAAAAATCGAAATTCAACTAAAAAATGAACTATTTTTAATTCAAGTTTTAATAAATTTGAATTAAAAATAGTGTAAGAAAAAGTGATTTTATTGTACATTGACAAATTTATTTTCTATTTCTTAGTTGGATTTTCTATAAAAGCGTATTTTGTTAGTTTTTTTTTAAACTATTACCTATTTTAAGTATAGCCATCGGTTTCTTGTGGTGCCATTATTGCTATTGTCAAGTTTATAAAAGTCTTCAACTATTAAATACATATTTATTCTGTTAAAAAAAAAACAGGAGCGAAGAGATGAGTTTTCTGAGACTGTTATCAATTATGATGAAATTAAATGTAACGAGATAACATTGCACGAAATAGAAGCTCAGAAATTTTTTAGTTATTTACTGAGAGTTCAGTGGACTTGTTGGAAGAACTCGAGAAGTTACGTAAGGCGGGCTTCGTTTGCAAAATGCACTTTCACAGACGCTAAACGGTTAACAAGCTACCGTTATTGCACGTACAGATCTGGAGGAGCACTAGATTTAACAAAATGAAAATAATTGACAACCACATTCCTCGCGTTCCCGCCAAAAACACTACCTAAAATAAAATTTAATACTATTTCAAAAATTCTTAAACAAACTTTAGTCGATTTTTTTGTTTTATCTCTATTCAAATGTTTATTTTATTGACGATCAATCTACACTAGTACCATAGATAGGTACCAAAAGCAACAAAAACTCCAAACCTTAAAAGTGAATTTTTGGAGCGAAAGCGAGTGAATCGTTTTGTTGAAGTGAAACTTCCTTATCGGCGTTGGAAAAAAATTTACCGTCACATTTTTCGGTTACGCGTCACTTTTTTCCGTTACGCGCCATCTGTTTTGTATTCATGTCTATGATAATAAAATCCTTTTGTTTAAACTTTATCTAATTTAACTTTTTTGTATTCATGTCTATGATAATAAAATCCTTTTGTTTAAACTTTATCTAATTTAACTTTATTTAACCAATTTCTAGAAAGTTGCATGTAGATCATTTTTCGAAAAATAAGGCCATAAACAAGTTTCACTTCTTACGTGTGTACACTAGTACACGCACACATTTTTTTGAAGTGAAACTTCCTTATCGGCGTTGGAAAAAAATTTACCGTCACATTTTTCGGTTACGCGTCACTTTTTTCCGTTACGCGCCATCTGTTTTGTATTCATGTCTATGATAATAAAATCCTTTTGTTTAAACTTTATCTAATTTAACTTTTTTGTATTCATGTCTATGATAATAAAATCCTTTTGTTTAAACTTTATCTAATTTAAATTTATTTAACCAATTTCTAGAAAGTTGCATGTAGATCATTTTTCGAAAAATAAGGCCATAAACAAGTTTCACTTCTTACGTGTGTACACTAGTACACGCACACATTTTTTTTATTAGTGTTTGTTCAGACTTAATGTGGTGGTAGTTGCTAGCTGTTTGGTATCTGTGAAAGTGCCCGTATATAGGGGAAAAAAAAGACCCTGAAAATAGCATCTCCGGTTTTTCCAAAAAGTTCACTTGTAGTCTTCGTACATAATCACCATTTTACTAACATTTTATTTCACCCCGTCGCATCTCATTTCTTTTAATTTCACCCCAATTTATTAAAATCTCAAATTAATCAATTTTATCGCATTGCACTTCAACTTGTTTTTATAGGATAGTAGAACAAAATATAAGACTTGGCTTAAAAGCCTCGTTACCATAAAATAAATAAAAAAGCCTATAGTTACTTAATTTGTCAAATTTCACATGGTCAGAAAAATTTGAATGATGGAATATAAATATTTTTAAACTAAATTAATAATTCTGAACAGTTTCTAAAATTAGTGAGAACCGGAGAACTAATCCACTTAAATGCAATTAAATTATTTTCTTGATCGGTTTAAAGTCAAACAAATCACTCAAATAGACTCAAATTTTCTACAATTATTTGTAAACTGCCTATACCTATTTGTTTATTTTTATATTTAGCTTGAATCATAGTTTATATTTATTATAAGGTTCGTACAGAATTTTGTTTATAATAATAAATTACACATGACCTATTCGTCAATTGAATTTACGGTACCAATTGAATGGTAGCTAAATAAAATTATAATGCAATAGACTTTGAGATGCAATAGAGTATTGGAGACAAGTGGAAAAATGTAGAATTAGCAGAAAGCTGTGAATGGCTGTGATTTTGAATTCGCTTTTGCGAATAACGTATCGCCGAAAGACAAGCTTTGGTCTACTCATAGACTTAACAATGAAAACTTTATACATTAAATATTACACAGTCGCCCGAAGAAAGAAACGCTCTGCATACTCGTATGCGACGATACCTCTATCCAAGCTATCAGAAAAATATCCGAAAATAATTACACATAAAACTACTGTTACAGTTTAATCTTAATTTAACACATTTATGGTAAACTTAAGTACCTGGGGTAAATATTTAATGGTATGTGTGTCACCATAAAGTTTGTTTCACAATTGACTCTTTTGTTCCTAGCCTTTGCATAATATTTACACTTGGATACCTCATATTTGAGTCGTCTATTATCAAAGGTGGCAATCTGTGCATTTGGACAAAAAAATTTTATTGATATGTCAATTCAGATTGATTTGAATATAATCGTCCCCTTCAAAGAATACGGTTCAAAACCTGCATTAAATAAAGGTTAATAGTTAACCTGTTATTTATCTAAGATGTCGTTCCGAAGAGTTTTGTGACTGACAATGGAATACAAAGTCAATAATTCGTTTTTCTGATTTACCAATCATTGTCCAAAAGTCAGATTGCCGCCTTTGATAATAGTCGACTCATTTGTAGGTAACAATTGCCAGCAAATTTCATAATGTGTTTCTTATAGCAAAACTTAACTGCACTTTGTGAGTAGGGAACAAAAACATTAAAAAAAAACAAAATCCCCTTCGGACTATGATTTCAGACAGAAATGGCAGAGACTCTAACTGTAGAAGTGATGTTTGGGGGCGGAGCTGAATTGCTTTTCAATAAAGTAAAGAGGAAAGAAATTACACTGCCGTCATTGAAGACCTTTTTACCGGATTCTCAAAATCTGAATTGGACGTTAAAAGAGCTGTTGATTTGGTTAAAGGACAACCTGCTGGTGGAAAGAGAAGAGTTGTTCTTGAAGGTTTGCTCTTATTTAACATTAGTGTCAACAGCCAAGGGTGCTAAAAAAGAAAGTTAAAAACTTTGTATTAAAACACAGCACACATTTTATAGTCAGCAAACTTTGTCTATTTTGTTAAGAGGAGTTTCTCAAGCCTCCAGGAGGTCAACTTGTAACCCTTAGTTAAATATTAGTGAGAGTTTCTACTACCTTCATGCAGTTATTTTATTTACCTAATTTATGTGACGATTTATTTTTATAGGTCACTAACCATATGGCCAATCTCAGGTGGTTACAGCAGCCCATAGGCACCACAGTGTGAATTGTTTAACTGACTGCAGAGATTAGGTTGAAATCTCTGCTGTAAATTTATAACCGATGTCTCACGCTATTTAGCAGAAATAGACAAGATGCAGGTAATGTAACTGTACTGAGACCTTAGGACTTATATCTCAAGGTGAGTGGTGCATTTACGTTGTAGATGTCTGTGGGCTCCAGTAACCACTTAACAACAGGTAGGCTGTGAGCTCGTCCATCCATCAAAGGAATAAAAAAAAAAAGTTGTGCGAGCTCGCATATGCTTTGCTACCTGGACCATTATATTTATTATTAGCTCATAGTTTCCTTCACTCGTTACAGGATGATTCTGTCCGACCCGGTATACTGGTGTTGATTAATGAAGAAGACTGGGAGCTCCACGGACAGTTAAATTATGAACTCAAAGAAAATGATAAAATCATGTTCATATCGACGTTGCATGGCGGTTAAATTTGATAACAATGAATTAATTAAAACTATTTTTACTGTTTATGATTGTGTTCATTATTTATGAATTATATATGGAAGCAGACCAGATAGAAGGTTGGCCCGCACACTCTGAACTGTATTGATAAAAAAAAAAAAAGTTATTACAAACAAAATATATATAAAAAGTGTTTACAAACCGAATTGTGAATCCAACCATTCACGGACCCACTTGAACATACTCAATTTGTTTTTTTCTAATTAAAATCGATCCAACCAATTAGGAGTTCAGTCACATACAGAATAATGATATTATATTTATTTATTTATTTAATAAACAATGTTTCAACAGCATTTAACTAGACACAGGGTACAGAGGATGTTTTCCCAAACATGAGCCAATTAAAGAAACACATTATGTTTCCAAAAAATTTTAACATAATTATAAATAATTTATTAATGTATTGAACACATGATTTTGTAAAATGACATTCAATGACCACACAGTAAATTGTTTTCGTACGTGATAAGATTAAGATAATTTGTTCAGTCGTAGCCTCCAAAAGAGTGAGCTGGTATACTGGCAAGCGATGACATAATTAAAGAAGTTTGAATGATAATTGTAATTTACAAAATAAACATTGGTGGTTTTAATATATTACGACATTGAATAAATATGAACCGATTAGATAGATTAGATATGTTGATCAGAGCTTATGACGTCATATGTGGGGTTGTAGAGTTTTATTGTATATTCTATGATTGGTTCGCTGACTTTGGCCCGAATGGCGTCACACGTGACCGTCGCGCGTGGACATCAGCAACCCAAGAGTCTCGGTCAATCTGCTAGAATATTTTTGAAGAGGGACATGTCATAGCTCTCTAGGAATTCTGTGGAGGGGCGTAAAATGGTAGGAGCAGATGAGCACGCGGATTCTTCAGAGCAGTCCCCGTGGAGCGTACGATGCTAAATACAGAGAGAACCGAAGTCCTGTAAGCTCAGAGATTCCAGACGGTTTCTGGAATCGATTGATTAAAATTTTTAATTAACTCTTATCTTTGCTAGGGCTAGTGTTAGTAATTCTCTCAGGTTGAGCCCGTGAGCTCACCTACCCGTCCGCGTGAAGTTGGGATAGCTCATTGGCTACCAGGATAATCAAGACCGGCACTATGCCACCGTGATCGATCGTGAGCGTGGCGGATGTCTCTGATCGGTTGTTTACTTCGTCGCGGAAATAGGCAGGTCCCTGGTACCTTTCGATCATAATACGCCCAACTTCACCCCACCATGCCAAAAAACGTTGATAGGCAAACAAAATTCTCTTAATATTACCCTCAGTCGCTCAAGACATTTACGGCAATATATCTTTGCTGTCTGAATTGGCTTGAACAAGTCTCATGGCGACCTCACAGCCAGCTCAAGGGCAGTTGATAATCGAATGCATATACTACCGGATCGGAATCGCGTCCCCCTGAGAAGATCGTTGTTGTCGTTGATCGATAATGAAGTCGTCGTGGCCTAAAGAATAAGACGTCCGGTGCATTCGTGTTGAAGCGATGCACTGGTGTTCGAATCCGAGGCGGGTACCAATTTTTCTAATGAAATACGTAAAAAAAAAGTACTCACCAAATGCTCAAGATTGACTTCCACGATGAAGGAATAATATCGTGTAATAAAAACGAAACCCGCAAAAGTATAATTTGCGTAACTACTGTGTAAAAACCTCTTATGAGTCCGCACGGGTAGGTACCACCGCCCTGCCTATTTCTACCGTGAAGCAGTAATGTGTTTCGGTTTGAAGTTATAATTCCTGCGGACCAAATGGTAAACAGTCGATGTCGCCCAAAACACGTAATCTCGGATTCTACTGATCCACTAACGGTGCTTTTAGGTACCACAAGCACTGGTCATCCTTCTCAGCGAACCCGTCACCTGCGACGAAGGGCTCGACGAGTAAATTAACCCACAAATACAGCCCACTGAGTTTCTCGCCGGATCTTCTCAGTGGGTCGCGTTTCCGATCCGGTGGTAGATTCTGCGAAGCACGGCTCTTGCTAGGGTTCGTGTCAGCAACATCGCCAGGTTTGAGCCCCGTGACCTCACCTACTAGCTCGGTGACGCTGACATGGTCTCTCTAGACAATCAACTAAGGTAGGTAAAAAAAATCGATATTAGCAACAACAATTCGTTCTTTTTAACTGAACTTCATTTGAGTTTCTTCCATTCAAATAGCAAAAGCAGTTTTTTTGTTGTGATATATTTTTCCGAATTTTAAACTTTAAATGGCTCTCCTGTAAAGTTGCAAAATTGTCGCTCAAATCCAATAATAATTTCACCCGTCGATGTAATGTGAGAATAAGCCGTTTTTTTGTAAGAAATCCACTCCCGACTTTTCCTCTTCAAAACAGTTTCTCCGCAGTCTTGAATGAAATAACTTAGCTTAGCTTTGAAGCACAAAGAAGTGCTTTTGCGTCTCGTAGAGCGTCTACGACGTAGCGTCCAAAATCGTAGCGCAGCTGTAGCTATGCCTACAGTACTGAAGTCTAAGATCCAACTTAAGTATTTCTTTTTGTTACGTTGGCTAGCGCACGGCGTACCTAATAATAAGTAAAAAGGCCTTTGGACATTCGCTCCAAGTATCAACTGTATTTAGGTAGTACCAAATCTTCAAATGTTTAACGGATGGCGATAAATTTCACGTCTAAAATCTACGAATGAATTATGCTTACAATACCTTTTAGATATTTTTCCGTAGACAGAAATTTGAATATTGGGGAAATCTGAAATTGGAGGACTTATTGGTGGTTGGACGTCTCGTGAGTCCACGCGGGTAGGTACCACCGCCCTGCCTATTTCTGCCGTGAAGCAGTAATGCGTTTCGGTTTGAAGGACGAGGCAGCCGTTGTACTGTTATAATTGAGACTGTCCCTAAGTCTGCTCCTAGTGTTAGAGCTGAAGGCGTCTAATGCAAGAGTTATTGGATGAATTTTTGATTTATTTTCGTGAGTTTAGTTGCGATTTTAAGAAGAAGAAGAAGAAGATAATCTTTATTCGCCAGAAATATAGTTTACAAGATATTATGGATATAGGACATAGTTTCTCATATATTTCGCCTGTTTAGGCATGCGAAAATTTAACTTATTTTTATATTAATTCTAACACAAAATTTACTAAATCTATCTATTTTTACATTCTGTCACTTCTTATTCTAATATTTTATTATGTACAACACTTATCATTTAAAAATTCTTGCACACTATAATAAGCCTTATCTATTAGCCATAAATATAATTTTCTTTTAAATTGAGTTAGGGGAAGATCTCTTATGCTGTTTGGTATCTTATTAAATATTCTTATAGTCATAGGATAACAGTTTGTTTTAAGTAGTTCATAATATTCCTTATTGCTTTACGTAAGTATATTATTATACTTACTTATACCAATTTAATTATTATTATAATTAGACTTATTTAAGTATATTTATGTAAATTTAAAGACTCGTAATTTCAGTTATTATTTATGAACCCTATCTGCTCGTGTGATGTGAAAATAGCGCGGAAACTTGTTTAATTATTGTCTACTTAACATTATATGTATATGTATGCATTTTACTGTTAATTTCTCCAATAAATAAATAAAGATGACGTACCTAAGTCCTTTAACCTGAATAGAAGAAGAGAATCGAAAATAAACATGTAAAAATTAACAATAAACGTTTCCATGAAAATTGGGGAAACGCGCCCTCGTTTTGTCTCTCTCACATTTAGTCCGTCTCGTTCTATCTCACCTTTTACAGTGAATGTAAAATTTTTGGATGCGGCAATTTGAAAAGCTAAATTTTTTTTCGTACATTGCTAAGATATTTTCTCTTTATTTACAACAGCATACGGTTTTATAGTTAGAACAGAATGAAGTAGTGAATAGCTACAAAATAAATCTAGATTCTATGATAGACTGCAGATAGACTGCTATAAAAAATGCAAATATAACATTCCTGTTATTCCATACGCTGTATCAATTATAGTCATTATTATTTTCAATGTTTGTATTCATGTAACAATAACGACCCACCTTAGACATAGGCACTGCTAAAAATGCGTTACAATAGTTTTATGAGTGTTATTTAACAATATATTCATTCTTACACTTAATAGTGGAGTTTTTTTTTTATTGCTTTGCTAGTTAGAACGGCTGCTCCACTCTTCAAACCGAAAAGCATTATTACTTCACGGCAGAAATAGGCAGGTTGGTGGTACCTACCCGTGCGCCCTCATAAGAGGTCCTACCACCAGTTGTACATATATATTTAAACGTATATACGTATGTACGTCAAGCTCTGGTACCCGTAACGCAGGGAATCTTAAACTGAAGTCGAATGACCGTGCGTGATTTGTTTCTAGCTATTATTATTTACTAAAAGTTTTAGAAAACTGTAATTATAGGAGACGCCGCTAAGAATATAACAAAATAAAAGTAGTTTACATAATAAGTCAAATTATTTTTAATTACTCTCCTAAGCTGATTTCGTTTATCAAAATTAAATGTCGAAATCACAAAAGGTGACCGTATGTGATTTGTTCCCAGCTATTTCATTATTATTACCTATATACATAAATATTGCGACCCTTAAAGTGCCACATCTAAATTTTAAAGCTCCTCGTAGCTTTATCGAACGGCGCCAAGGTAGACAGTCTAAGTCGGGAGCACGATACGCAGACACTCGTTTGTCCGCAATCCCAGTTTTTAATTCGGGTTTCCTGTGAAAAAACCTTTAAAAAACAATAAAACAATAAGTGAATATGTGTAATTTTCAAATAAAACTCATATTTCAGTGTTAAAAGTGTTTTTTTGTGTTAAACTAATTCACTCGGATATTCTTGCTCGTTTCCAAGATGGCTTCTACCCGTTGACTTACACTAGAAGATTTCTAACGTCATATCCTGTGTGTCCTATAGCGGAATCCTATTGAAAATAGACAGGTAAGTCTATTTATTAATTCCACTACAATATTTATAAAGTTTTTAGGTTGATAATATTGAACAACTGATAAAATATATCGGAGAAAATAGTACAGAGTTTTCCTGTTGCAATCAAAAAACATTTTCCTTGTGATAGCGTATAAAATACGTATTATATTTGATGGTGTTTATTGCTAATGAAAGAAAATATCTAGGGAGATTAATCGAATTAAACTAAAGCGCTGCTGAATTCGCGAATAAAGAATAGCTCTTTGTCCGCCACATTTAAGTAATCCGATGTATAAATATTGGCTAATATAATGACGGGACAACAGAAAAAGTTTTTTTATTTTATATTACACGGTTTATGGTCTATCTGGCGTTGACTTGGTTAATGGAGTCCATGGACGTCATTGCTGTATATCATCTTATCATCCGGCTTTGGAATGACCTCCCCTCCACGGTACTTCCGGATATCTTGACATGTCCTTCTTCAAACGAGGCTTGTGGAGAGTGCTTAACGGTAGGCAGCGGCTTAGGTCTGCCCCTGGCATTGCTGACGTCCATGGGCGACGGTAACCACTCACCATCAGGTGGGCCGTATACTCGTCTGCCTACAAGGGCAATAAAAAGATCAACCTCCATCATGAGTTTGAAGTGTTAACTGCGATAATTCGCCCTCTAAGGCATGACCCCACGCTTGGTGACAGAAACCTTCAGAATTTTAATAAAAATGCACGTTCTTACCTAAGGTACCTAATAAAGTTTTCCACATTGCCAATACGATACGATTTTACGGCTCATTCGGTCGCATTTAACTTGTCGTGGCCTGAAGGATAAGACGTCCGCTGTATTCGTATCTAAAAATGCAACGGTGTCCGAATCCCGCAGGCGGGTACCAATTTTTCTAATTAAATACGTACTTAACAACCGTTCGCGATTGACTTCCACGGTGAAGGAATAACATCGTGTAGTAAAAACGAAACCCGCAATACAAATTAATGGTGGTAGGACGTCTTGGGAATCCGCGCGGGTAGGTACCACCACCCTGCCTATTTCTGCCGTGAAGCAGTAATGCGTTTCGGTTCGAAGGGTGGGGCAGCCGTTGTACTGTAAAAACAGACCTTAGAACTGTTATCACAAGATCGGCGGCACTATTTACGTTGTAAATGTCTATGGGCTCCGGTAACCACTTAACATCAGGTGGGTCGTGAGATCGTCCACCCACCTAAGCAATAAATTACATTGTTAATGCCAAGGAAACTGTTGAGACGCTGTTTGCCACTTCGTGCACGAGATGTATCTTAATGGGAGGGACTTCGTTTTAGGAGTAGCGGAATAAGGCACAGGCCAAAAAACATGGCGGTTCCAAGTGAAGCGAAATCTAGAAGCTCTGTGATGTCTAGCTGTGTGATGATTAAGTGTTTCGCCTGCATATACAAACAGTTATCGCCATTGCACATTTCGCCGTAATTCTTTTATAGGCATATGGCCCACCTTATGGTCGGTGGTTACCGTGGCCCATGGGAGTCAGCAATGCCAGGGATAAAGCCAACCTGCAGCCTACCGTCAAGTTCTCTCCACAAGCCTCGTTTGAAGAAGGACATGTCATAGCGATCGGGAAACGCCGTGGAGTTGAGCTCATTCTAAAGCCGGATGGTACATTTTTTTTATTGCTTAGATGGGTGGACGAGCTCACAGCCCACCTGATTGTTAAGTGGTTACTGGATCCCATAGACATCTACAACGTAAATGCGTCATCCACCTTGAGATATAAGTTCTAAGGTCTCAGTATAGTTACAACGATTGCCCCGCCCTTCAAACCGAAACGCATTACTGCTTCATGGCAGAAATAGGCAGGGCGGTGGTACCTATCCGTACATACCTACAAGAGGTCCTACCATCAGTGAAAAAGATCTCTGGAAACGCACTGTCGATGAGCGCAGTGGTTCTAGGTTGTATGGATGAATTGTACTCCGGTAATCAATCATGGTATGAGGGTAGGTAGCACACACGAATTATCTATGTCCGTTGCAATTCTACAGTCGTACCAAGCCGTCAAAGCGTTATCGCTGCGAGATCCTACGTCATCCAGTGTCCAATGAGTCCAGCGCGGCCCCGATTCGCGTGCCTAACTCAAATAAATACAATTTGATTTATAAATTAACACAGAGGGGCGATAGTTTGTCGTTTGCTTTATTTGTGCTAGGCACGATTTAGGTCCGTTAATACTAACTAGTGGTCCCACAGTAGACGAAATTCGATTATAATTAATTAAATGGTTCTATTTTCAAAGACTATTATACTTCTATAAAATAATCACAGTGTGTAATGTTTTTTTTAAATTGATTTAATGTATTTTTTATGCATTAGTGGTCCCCCTGTAGTCGGAATTCGACTATAATTAATTGAAATTATAAGTTTGTACACTAATAAGATTCTATTGTCAAAGACTATTTGTTATACTTCTATAATCACAGATTTCGCCAAGACTACATTTTAGACAAACAATATTAATCTATTCTCAATTAGACTACGAAACTTAACAATAGCAAAAGAGTATATAAGCGTGTGTATGTCAAATACATGGTAGTGTGTGTAATGTTTTTTTATTGATTTAATGTACGTATTTATTTATGCATAATTAAAAAGAACTAGAGGTCCCGCAGTAGTCGAAATTCGACTATAATTAATTAGAATTGTAAGTGTGTACACTATTATGATTGTATTTTATACTTCTATAATCACAAATTTCACCAAGGCTACTCTATAAAAAAATATTAATAAAGACAAACAATATTTAATCTATTCTCAATTTGACAACAGACGTCAAGAACAAAAGTTTGACAATAAATAGTATGCATGCGTGTGTGCGTCAAATACATGGTATGTAGTGTGTGTAATGTTTTCTTTATTGATTTAATGTATCTTTTAAGCATTGGTTTTAAAAAAAAAATTTGCATTGTGCACTTCTTCTCTATATTCTCTATAAGTGTGGAAAATTTCATACTCCTCCGTCCCTGCAATTTTCGTAAAAAGGGATACATAATTTTTGCTTCACGTATTAATATATAAATTAGGTAAATAGTCATATTTGCGCCGACATATATATGTGTTGTGTCAAATACATGGAAGTGTGTATAATGTTCTATTTAAATTGGTTTGATGTCTCTTTTATGCATAATTTAAAAAAAAAATTACATTTTGCACTCCTTCTCTATATTCTCTATAAGTGTAGGAAGCAAGCTCCTCCGTCCGCGCAATTTTCGTAAAAATGCGTACAATGTTTTTGCTTTACGTATTTCAATGTATAATAGTTAGATTAGTTCACCGACATAGCGAAAGGTATTATTGTCCTAATGCCGCTAAGCCTCATCGAACCTACTCTATACTGAGACCTTAGAACTCATATCTCAAGATGGGTGGCGGCATTTACGTTGTAGATGTCTATGGGCTCCGGCAATCACTTAAAACCAAGTAGACTGTGAGCTCGTCCACCTATCTACGCAGTAAAAAATTAAATAAAGATAATATTTTTATAGATACAATGAACCCTTCTCGCGTCGTTTCCTCACTGAGGGTCGTGACCAATAATATAACAGTTTTTTTTTTTGTTTTTTTTTTATTGCCCTTGTATGCAGACGAGCATACGGCCCACCTGATGGTGAGTGGTTACAGTCGCCCATGGACTTCAGCAATGCCAGGGGCAGAGACAAACCGCTGTCTACAGTACTACCAAAATACTTAAAAGCGCTTCAGGATCTGTTGCATGGTTCAATAAAATATTGAAGTTGTCCGATATTGTCAATTTAACGCCCACAAAACCCCCAAAACAACGTTAAGTATGTTAAGATCATATCTATGTTTTTCTTTGTTTTTGTGGAGAGTACACCGTCCAACTGAGCTTGAAAGCCTCCCCGAAGCTCTCATTTGGCAATAACTGAGCTTAAATTGCCATTAGTATTAAGCGTAGAGATCATTATTCATTTTAATTACGTCTTAAAGCTCTGAACGGGTGTGCCAACAGACTGTGCGAGGTTTTTGGTCCGACTCTATGGAGCTAGGTTAGTTGCAAGCCTTTTTAAAGCTTAGATAGGCTGACCATGCCAGACTGACCGTCGCTTTTAGCGATAAGACCGCCTATTGTACAAATGTATCTGCTTGTTGACTGTTTTTGAATGTAAATTGTGTTTTTCTGTGCAATAAAGTGTATTCTATCTCTCTTTCTTCTCTCACTCTCTCTCTCTCTCTATCTCTCTCGCTCTCTCTCACCATGTCCCGACGCACCTAGTGTTAAGTAGTTACCGGAGCCAATAGACAGCTACAAAGTAATGCCATTACCTGAACGAGACATAAGTTCTAAGGTCTCAGTTTGAGCAGTCCAACGGCTGCCCCATCCTTCAAACCGAAACGCATTACTGCTTCACGGCAAAAATAGGCAGGGTACTTACCCGGGCGGACTCACAAGTCACCCTACCACCAGAAAGCAAGCAATATTCTTTGAGATTTAAACAATGGCAATAATTTATTGTGATTAGATTATTTTAGCTTCCACTGTAGTCAGTAGATCAAATTCAGTGTTATTAATTTATCGTTGCGCATTCTTTGGACGGCTTAAGAGAGTTTTAACTATGAATGTGGAAGGCTTTAGAAGAAGACGTAGACCTAAGAAAAAATGGATGGATTGCGTGAAAGACGATATGTGTAAGAGGGTAGTGAGCGAAGAAATGGTATATGATAGAGGAGTGTGGAAGAAGAGAGCATGTTGCGCCGATCCCAGGTGACTGGGAGAAAGACAGGAGAATGATGATTCTTTGGACTTCTTCCCGGAAGAACGAAAACGAGCTAAAAGTCGGCGAGAGACTATACACCACCAGAGAGCATATCACGATGCACATCAATGAGAGATTGTTTGGTGGGTGATCACAAGGTGGGTGGCGAATTTACGTTGTAGATGTCTATGGGCTTGTAACCACTTAACACCAGGTGGCCTGTGAGCTCGTCCACCCATCTAAGCTATA